TATCCATAACAGCCATGAGATCAGGCAACAAAGAATTGCATCACTGGCTTGTGACAGCTGAGGGGTCACCAGGGTCTCTTCTTACTGGAATAAATCATCTGCAGAGAGTCAGAGTAGAGATAGTTCCTCTTGCTGTGGGGATAAATGGGTGACAGAGCTGTCCTGACCCTCGAGGTGCAGGGCGCGCTCAGAATAATAGTATCTGTTCCATGTTTAAGCAGGATGTATAATTTAGGACAGGCAACTTTTAAGAGTGGCACCTCATTATGACAAGTGCATAGAGAGGAGGGGAGGACAGGAGATGAGGACTTCATACAGTAACAGAAACTTTCATTTGTGTCAGTGTGGGCAAAAGCTTGATTTATGTCACTGTAGATTAGAAAACGAGAGTTTATTTAGTCGTAGAAATAGCACCGTGGCATTGCTTCTATCAACAAAATCACAGCACAGAGAGGCTGCTGAGTTCACTTCCATTGTATTAAGTGTAAAAATTAATGCTAGCTGTCTGCACAGATTTGTCTTGTTCATAATGTGCTGTGCTGCTTTAAATCAAGAGTGACACAATAATTAAACTGGAAATGGTTGAGTAGAATTAAACTGTGTCTACTCATTCATTTGTGCTTTCTAATTAATTAACCATCCAGACTTGCTCTGTTGTTGTGTAAAAAGGAAAACGCATCAGAGCTTAACAGTGAAACAGTCACATGCCTGCTTGTTCAGGCATCAGATCAGTTTATTTGTGTATTTGTGCAGACACTGGATGTCACAGTCTCAGCACCAGCCCTGTCTTCACCCCACGTTTCCCCCAGCTCTCATGCTTTCTGGATTTTTCTATAGAGGTTACACCCCACATCTCTTATATGCATGTAGGTTTACCTCACTTGTGGTTGCATGCTTTCACCAGCCAGGCAGATGTGAGGATACAGTGACCTTTGACCTGTGAGTGCCTAAATCTAATCACTTCATCCTGGAAATTCCCTCAAGGTGACAGGAGACAGCTGGGGTTGCTGATAATTCAGTTTTAGGGATGTGTTTAGTGTTTCTGTCAGTATCAGTGTTAAACTTTGTGTCTTTGGTCAGGGCAGTTAACTACAAAACCCAGAGTCATTACATATAAAACATGATGAAATATAACAATTACAGTGCGGTAAATGAACATTTTTATGATGTGCTAACAAAAAGGTGAGAGAGATTTGCTAGGCAGTGTGAACATATGAAGTCACTCAATGAAGACAGTAGCTGTGGCGGATTCTGTACAAATGTGATGACTGTGAATAAACCTGCTGGAAGTAGAAAACTGATCTATAGTCACAAAATCAGAACACAGATATGAGCATCTGACTGATTCCTCTTATAACAACAGAGCTCAGATCACTAGAAAGTGTGGTCAACATGACTGAGGCTTTTTTGACTCATACATCAATTAATAAATGCAGATATTTTGGATCCACTTGTTGTTTTGGCTTCTGGTCATCTGTTAACACTGAATCTTAGATGATGACATCATCTACTACTCCGGCTGCACAGATTTTATACTGTTAGGACCGTTAAGGGAGTTCTTAAGTAGAATTGCAGAAAGAATAAAGAAAGAGCGAAAGGAGGGCTGAGGTGCCAGCACGATGGGAATCTGGTCCTCATGGTTCATGCACATGAATGTATGTGAGAGACAGAAAGCAGAGAGTGTGTGAGAAGAAGAGACAGGAAAGAGAAGGAAGGGAAAATGCAATTCTAGATTACATGTGCTTGTGCTGCAGTGTGGGTGGGCATGTGTTGGAGGGAGTGAGGGAGAGTGAAAGGGAGGGAGAGAGGGCGATGTAGTTTTTTGCTTGGCAGTGAGTGTGCGAGTGGCTGTGTTTGACATAATGTGGGGCATTCACATGGAGACACAGGCACTCAAAATAATAAATTAAAACTGAAGACCACAGATAAAACGAAGTGTTATCATTAAAGTTAGAAGAGTGATGCACAACAGTGTCTTTGCTCTGTCTTCTATTTTTGTACATCTCCTAGCAACCACAGCGGACACCATTTTGAATGTTTTATAATACCATAGATAAGTAAGTGTGTGTGCAGGGGTGCAAAGTACATTTACTCAAGTACTGTACTTAAGTACAGCTGAGGTATCTGTACTTGAGTATTTTCATTTTTTGCTACTTCATAGTATCCTCCGGGGTGGAGAGCATGGCCCAAATGCCAGCGGAAGTGACCAGGTTGAGAGGACAAGGGAACGATCCAGCATCCAAACGCAAAGCGAGACAAAATCGACGGAGGCACACATGGGCCAACAGGGCTTCAGCCGTTTGAACGAAAGCGGAAGCGGCCGTACGGAGGTTTGAGTGGGTTAAATAATGTGAAAACGGAAAAGGGGTCAGGGCCCGTTCCCGAGCTTCAGATAATTATGTTATCTCCATTTAAAATTAGCTCCATCTTCCAGATGCAACATTACAATTATGAACACAATAATGCATCAGTAATTATAATCCTATAGTTTGATGCTAATACTTTCATTTTTTAGCTTAAGTAACAGTTTGAATGCAGGACATTTATGTGTAACACAGTATTTTTACACTATGGTATTGGTACTTTTACTTAAGTAAACAACCTGTGTATTTATGTGTGTGTGTGCAGGTGTAAAATAACACAAATCATGTGCAGAGAGAGGTTAAAACACCACGGTGTGAACAAGTCGGTTGATTCTAAACTAGACAAGCAAATGTAGCAGTTGGCATTTAACCTGGTTTACAGTCCTGAAGACTAGGTTGACTCTACAGAAACCTGGATAAACTGCATCATAAATTACCTCACTGTTTCTGTTTGCCAGCTGTTTTTGGACAGTACTTCTGTTACTATTTCTCCTGCTCCTGGTGTGACATCAGTGAGCTGGTTTGAAACAAGAGAGGGCACATCAGGCAGAAGATTTTAAAAAGAGATTTTATCTCCTGACTGTCAGACTCAAAACACACCAGGTCTACTGAGTTGTTGTGTCTAAAGTCAAATTATAATCAGCTCAACAATTACTGTAAATGACCATGAAAACAGGAAAGCTGAAGCTTCAGTCACAGTCGATGTTGCTTAGCCCAAGCTCATTTCAACAGAAGTTCACTCAGGTGTGCGTCTATAAAGGCCCCTGAACACTGAGAGATTTTATCTGAGATGAAAGTTGACATTCATAAGAGAAACATAGTCCGTTTCTTTGGTTATCAATCCAAAATCGTGGCCTTATTCCTAGGTCGCAGCATTAGACATACTCACAAGGGACAATCTGGAGCTTTGGCCTGCAGGTTTATGACAGAAATTCTCACAGCGCGACTGCGGTTATGACCCAAATCTACAAGCCAACCAGTGTGACAGAGTGAAACTGCACAGAATAGACCTCTGATGTGACATTTTACCAGCGCTAAAGTGCCAAAGCTTTCATTGAACAAAATCAATGTTGTCTCAAAGTCTAAACGCACCTTAACAAGACTCTTAACTGTTTGGTTGTGCTCATGCACCTTCCACCACTTCAGTATTCTGTACTTTTGGTTAATATCTCTCAGACGGGTATCATGGCCATTGTATTAACTGCTTGTCAGCTTCTTACTGCTTGTTGTTGTTTCCAATAACAAGCTGAATGGAACAATTGGAAATATCCTGTTATTAACAGATCACATCATCATCAAGACAAAGTCAGTAAGATAAATCAGTAATAAATCCCCAACAGAGCAAATAAAGATGTAAAGCTTTTTAAAATGATGACTCAGTTTATTAAAAAAGCTGAGACCTCTTAAGGTCAAAGTGCCAACTGAGAGACCTCGCCACATCAACACTTTATCTATATTTGACTAAAAGCCACTTGAGTACACACAGTGTGGTTCTAGTCTCACTTTGTACTCTCACTCATTTGCACAACAAATAGTTGGCATGTACTGAGACAGGAGGCCATGTGAATGTGAAAATGGATGCTGCGGCTCATCGCAGTCCTCTCACAAAGTAAACACACAGCTCTACATTGAAATAATGAGATGATAAAGGTGCTTTTGCAGCGCGCTGAAAGCTTTCCGAGCCGCTTCCTGGTGAAATATCTTTAAAGTATCTATCAAAGTCTACCTGATGAAAAACACTCCAGCTGAGGTGTATTAAAGATGTATAAATATGAAACAGGCTTGAAGTAAAGGCTTGTCAACTTTTATTTTTCCACTTTTTTGGTGTAAAATTGTTCTTTTTGTCTGTGTTCATGTAGAAAATTCACAATATCTAGAAGTTGTACACAGCGTGCCTCTGGACAACAGGGCTGATGCTACTATATGTGCCTGTGTGGCTTTAAGTGTGAGACATTGTGCCAGTTTGTGTGAAACCAATGTCTATTTGAAAGCTGGGCACTAGTCTGTTGTCCTTCAGTCTCCAATTAACAAGGGCCTGTTTAATTGCAGTGGTTTGGGAGGGCATACAATTACCACTGAAGCTGAACCAAGCTCAACACACACACACAAAGTCTCTCTTAATAAGCAGCACTATCAGCTCTCCTTTCTTCTTCTCTTTAATTTGCATTTTGCTCGCGCCCTCCTCCTCACCCTCCTGCCTGTGCTGCTGAGGCGTTAGGATTAAACTCCTCCTGTCATCTTCTTCCTCGTTGGTCTGTCACATTCCGGCCTGTGATGCGTTTTCCTCAAAGCTGGTGACAAATCTCACTCCCGCTCCCTGTCTCGTCTCAAACAATGCATCTTCCTCCTCTTTATTTTTCACTTCATCACCTTTTCAGTCTTTCTTTTTAAACTCTCTTTCTCTCTTCCTTATTTTTCTGACCCACTCTTCTGATTTCCTTTCTCTTGCATCCTTTTTTCTTTCTTGTCATCATCTTTAACTGGCATGAAAGTCATGGGTGGGCATTTAACTGGACAAAGAATTGTAAAAAATACACATTTATTGTACATATACAATATTGGGTTTAATTTTTTACTTTAAAGTGTCCATTTCCTCTCATCATAGCAATGAATGTTTTCTTTCTTTCTTTCACACAGGTTCTTTCAAAGGCATGTGTAAGCAGATAGATCACTTCCCGGAGGATGCTGACTATGAGGCGGATGCTTCAGAGTACTTCTTACGTGAGTCCTTTCATCCATCCAGACTTCCAGTCTTTACTGTATGTTTACATCCATCTATAAGTTTATTATTTCTTTCTCATAGGACTGCTCATTTTTGGTTTATTTTACTTCATCACTACATTGTATTTTTTTTGAAGTTTCAATTTTGCATAAAGTATCACTGAGATACAAGAGTATCAGCATCAACTCTGTCACCTAAAAACTTTCTAAGCTCTATGTGAGAAGGGCAGAGGAAAGGAAAATATAGGACAACATCAGGAAGGAGAGAATGTTAGGTGGACCAGGGAAAGAAGGTGGACAAGGAGGCAAAAGGTCAAAGGCAAAAAGTAGTGCAAAGCTGAAACGATGGAACTAGTGGAAAGGACACTGTAAGAAAGCAGAGCAGAAAGATTCAGAAGAGGAGTAGGGTCAAGAGGAGGATGTTGAAGGATGAGGAGGAGGTCAGGGATGTGGAGGAGAAGAAGGGAAAGGTATATGAAGTAGAGCACGAGAGGAGCAGAAGACAAATGAGATAGCAGAAGGTAGTGGGAAAGGGTGAGAGACAAGGAGAAGGGAAGGTGGAGGAGGTGAAGGACAAGGAGTAGGGCACCAGTGCAGTGCTGTTGCTTTCCCAGCGGCTTGCCAATTAGGACGCTTTCTTCTATAAATACTCGAGGCGCTGCTATGTGGGTCACACCTCTCCCTCTCCTCCTTCCATCCCTTGCCTCCTTCCACTTGCTTTCAATCCATCTGTCTGTCCATCTCCATTGAGGCCTGCACACCTGTCCAACAGCTGGTGGATGGAGGCCATGTGGTGGAGCAGGATGATGATGGTGAGGGAGCTGAAGCTGGCATCAGGTCACTAAATGTTTGTTTTAGAAAGTTTCTGAAAGTTTTAAGCTGGTTTGGTTAGAGCAAGGATACATGGAAACCGTGTGGTAGTGTTATGGATTTCAAAGCGTAGCTGGTTTCTAAGTGGGGTGTGCGGATTTTTGAGATGTTATTACGGACTTCCTGAGTGGCCCCCTTGCCAAAAATGTACCTGGTCAGATATACGTTCTTTGCGTGGCTGGAAAAGTGATCCTGCTGTGCATCGGCATGTTGTAGTTTTTTACAGATGTCCACATTTGCTTTTTATGCTGACAATAGGTTCAGACTGGCATTGTTTAACAGTTTCCACAAACCCCTTGAAAAAAAGCCCAAGACCAGTGTGTTAGTCCAGCTTACAGCACTCTCTGACCTCCCTGCCCTGCCTGTACCAAGTCATACTGAGGAAGAAATCTTTGAATAAATCAGTGTATAGTCTTATTAAGAAATATTTTGCTATTATTCTATTAATAATGCTTTAAAATTGCTCGGTAATTGCCTAAAAAACTTGATATTGAAGTTTATTACCAGACATTACTTAAACCGGAGCAAACTGTGCTTTGTCTGGGAGTAATATAAAGTTGGTGAGCTGGTAATCAGCACAGTGCAGTGCCCATGTTCATGGAAAAAAAAGATCATGCCAGCCAGTGGAAGGGTGTGATGTGTTTACATAATAAGCTTGTGAGCCACAATGGAGCTCTGTGGTACTGAGGAGTAAGGTACACATCAGCTGGTTTATTTTTCACAATATTTGTTGACAATAAAAATAGATATCAGATATTGGCAGATATTGGATATCTGTTAACTGTCTTAAAAGCATGTACAGTCCAGCCACATGCACAAAGCTGATGTCAGGCCAGCTTGCTCATCTAGCTATATAGGAAATAAATCACCATTTTAATCTGAAGACACTTCGCTTCGTCCTCCATCATATATCCACCACCTGTTCTAATTACTTGCAGGCTTGTGCTTTTAAGTAGCTGCCCTCCTCACACATCCTTTTCCCTTGCTCCTCCACTTCACTTCACTTCCTTCTGTGTCTGGTATTTAATTGCATATGCCTCTGTAAAAATTGTCCTTCTGCTCTTGGTCTTCATTTTGTTCAGTCTTTTTGTTTTCTGAGCACCACTTTTATGCACTGCAGAATCACATAATTACTGTAAATGCACTAACAAACTGACACGTGCGCTCTTTGCTTCCTGATATGGTAAATAAAGCTCATTCTCTTGATGCGCTCACTGTAAGTCAACCTGAGTAACAGTGTCAGCTGAACTACTACAATGACAATGTTAAGTGTGGATGATGACACATTCTGACAGGTGGAAATAGTGCAACATTTGTTTATAGAGGCATCACTCTGCTTCACATCCACATTATCGTACACACACCTGGAAGCCTCTCAGCACATCTCTTCCATCTCTTTCACTTTACCTTGTTAACAGTTGTGCTCCTGTGGACCCACATGACAGAACAAACTGTAGTTGTCCAACTAGACAAGGGAAGGCAACAAATTGACATGCTTATGTTTTGTCAAGACGTCACGATGCGTCCTACATGCTGCATCAGGTGTCTTCACCTGAGACACACACTATACAGGAAAAAATGAGCAACACAGACAAAACCTGCTACAACAACAACACTGGTTTTTGACCCTGTGTTATTTATGTGGATATACCCTTCAGAATCAACCTGATCTGAGCAGGTAAAGAAGTGTAACAGCCTGTCAATTTCAGTGGAAAAATCCTCTTCCTCAAATGAAGCTGACTCAGACCCATTCCTGGGAGATATATTGTACACAGAAATGCCATAATTCATTAGCAGGCATTTACACTGCTTGTACAGTAGCTACCATAGTAGTAGACCAGTGTTAAATAGATAATGGAAGTCATCATTAGATTTTTCTGTCTCCCTTATCCATTGTCAGTCTTTCACT